AAAAAAAATGACATGCTTTCCATCATATTGGACTGATTGTCATGATTTCGTGAAAACCATACGTTTACGATCAGGGAGTACAAGCATGTTTACAACAGATCATCTACTGTTCTCTTTCACCGAGTATACGTTTTTTTATATTATCTGATCACAAGAATGTATTGTTAACTTGAGTCATATTTGCTACTGTAGAGGTTTGAACATACACATGTAGACTTTGTTCATTAAAAAAAAAAAACTTTTTTTGTATATGTATTGTGTGGATTGGGTGGATATATGAAGGGAGCCATTATTTAGCATTACTCTGTGTTTTAGGGTTTCACAACCCTTTAAATTTCAAAGATAAAGCTCAACAGAAATAAGTGCAATCATTTTGAATGTGCATTGCCATGCATCATCTGCTCAAGAATTATAAATGTAATGGGATCTTGATAAAGAGGTACAAGACAAATTAAGGACATTAGCATGTTACTGTGTTCAGAAGACCGAGTGTGTTTTCATGCAGAGCATCACTTCTGACCCGCTGGACTGAGGTTTTGTTTTCCTTATCTATAATTTAATGATTTGAAGCTTTCGTTACAACACACGTGTAACTTTTTAAATGAAGTTAATATATAATTGATTTCCGTAATATTTACTTTTTAATAGTTTGTATTTTGAATTGGGATCTCATGGTGCTAAACAATATTTACCTCTAAATTATAAACCATTTAGACTTAAAATAAGAAAATAGACATTATGCAGTTTTTTTACAAATTCCGTATCAATGTTAAAAATAGATCAAAGACATTTGATAAATAGTCACATTAATATATATATATATATAGTTGCTTCTAACTGTCTTTTCAGACATAATTACTTTTATTAGGTACTCCAAAAATTCTTTGTATTTTCATATTTCCAATTAATTTCCAATTTCGACCACTAACAATACAACTAGCTATTTTATAAGAGCAGTGCTATCAGTTGGTGTAAAGTGTAAGTGATGTAAGATTTATTAGTTTTATACTCCTAGGTGGAGGGAGTCACGAGTCGGAAAATAATGTGGACTTGGGGCCACCAAATTAGACAAAAATGTCCCCGCACAATTAAATTACATCTAAAAATGCAAATGAATTGAAGATGTTGCGGAGGGCGAACCAACTCCAGGGTAAAGGCTGTCGCGAATAAAGTAAAAATGAAATGAAAAGTGTTAATTGCGGCATTAAATTTAGATCTGCTCATGTTGCATCATATTTCTTTTTACGCGTTTTTATATTGTTGTGCATTATAACCAATCACACGATTCTGTTGAGCTTATGAATGCAATGGCCAATCAGAGGCGTTCAGGTTAGTCATCACACCGGAGTGTTTTTTTTAATTTTCAGTTGATTTTCACTTAATTCTGCACTCTCGCTAATTCTCTCATAAACACTGCAGGTGTACGTGCAATGTAAGTGAGAGATTAATTTCACTTCACTGATTATAACAATACATCCCAGATATAGATGAGTTTGTTTTTTCTTTATACCATGGTCTGTCTGAATACTCGATTCTGATTGGCTGGCAGGTGTGCATTAAAACCGTGTAATGCACAGCTAGCCGTGCATTATCCTTTACTCAAGTATATCATTCTATCACTTGCTCGCCAATATACCTTCTGCAGTGAATGGGTGCCGTCAGAATGAGAGTCCAAACAGCTGATGTTGTCCTCTCATCAAAATCCACCCACTTTTTTTTTTACAGTTTTCACTTACAGTAATAAATACAGTAAACAGTGCGTAATCTGATTTAGATGAGAACGTTTTCTCTGGAGAAGGCAATATTATGAATAGGCTCGTATTTTAGCAAAGGTTTAAAGTAAAAACGTCTTAATGCTGGATTTGTTTCAGTTTTTGTCTTTTCCAGATGTTAACTGATGGACTGGAGTGCTGTGGATTATTGTGATGTTTTTATCAGCTGTTTGGACTCTCATTCTGATGGCACCCATTCACTGCAGAGCATCCATTGCTGAGACACTGATGCAGTGCTACATTTCTACAAATCTGATGAAGAAACAAACTGATCTCATTAAAGGTGAGTAAATATTCAGCAAAACTATTCCTTCAACTCAATGGCAATAAATGTCCACACCTTTACATTTAAAGATTGATAGTGTTACATGATGGAAAATTGAAAAAAAAAAAAGACAATCACTTATTGTCGATCTACTTTGTGAATGTGAATAAAGAAATACATGGGTGAAAATACAATACAAATAAGAAGGCACTTTCCTGAGTTGAAATAGCTGACTCAGTATTTATTGATTGATGCAGCACAGCACAGATGATGAAATCTTCTTACATCAGGGAGCTTGGAGTGCAGCCTGTTCATCTAGAACGACAGTCGGGCAATATTGACTTACTAACCTTACAGAGGTTAACACACCTACACAATTGTGCTGTGTAACAGGCCAATTAAAAGGCAGGAGACATTCATTCATTTATTTTTAAGCATATATGAACATTTGTTTTGTGCCCTTTTTGGACACACTTTATTTTAATGTGTCTTTGTTCCAGTGTAATTACATAAGTACTGGTTAATACCCATTAACTACCCATCTAGTTACTGTAGGTTTTGGGTTAGGGTTCGGGGTTACGCTTTATTTTAAGGTGTCCTTGTTACAGTGTAATTATACATTTATGTACTGAGTAATATTAATTAACTACATGTATTTACTATAGGGTTAGGATTGGGGTTACTTGCATGCAATTATGCATAATTAATTGTTAGTATAATAGTAAGTACATGTAACATGTGTAACACGGACACCTTAAAATAAAGTGTTACCGGGTTCGGTTTAGTGTTAGTTGCTTGCACTTATGCATAATTTACTCTTATTACTATAGTAATTAAATGTAACTTGTGTAACAAGGACACATTAAAAACGAAGCATTACCCGTTTTTTTTAATGAATGTTCCATCTGTTTGTGTAACGTAATATACCTGTTTTAATTTTAACCTTACCTACTTTGTTATTTCTCACATATTTAAGTAAAGAGGACTACAGAACACTTTTCATTTACAAAAGACAGAGGATTTTATTCATTCGTTGAGAGTGCGATGTGTTAGACCAGCTGCTGCTGTTTATATGAGTTGATCAAGTTGTAAAAAATTACCAAAGTGTGACTTGTGTATGAAGCTTTTTCAGAATTAATATGTCTAGAATGGAAAACGCCAGAAACGGACAGACGGATGTTTACACTCTCGTAAAAATGCCTTGCTCATGTGTTTCACAAAAACAAAATCATAGCTCAGAACAGCTTTGGTGAGGTCTTTAAATGTCTCCCAGGCCCCCAAACTGCTTGGAACCACTTTCCTGGCCTCCAGCAACGATTCTGTTGATGGGAATGATCTTCATGGTGGTCTCCTTCAGAGAATACCAGCGACTTTGCCACGTGGCCCAAATAATGCCATTGTCATATCCATTCTGCGAGTCCTTCTCTGTGTACTTGCCACCTGTGAAGACAGAATGCATCAGTGAAGGGATTCCTGCATGTGTGCTATTGACTTTGCTCCTATAAAGAGGAAAGGCTTTACCCTGGTAGTATTTTCCGTTGAGATGAGCGGCATGGCAGCGGTTCATCCACCAGCCGGAGCCTTCCTGCAAGGCACAGTTTTCATGGAACTTGTCGTTGTCTTTGTCAGGTGTACTGAACTGCATGCCATTGTGAGACGTGTAGAATTTGTCACTGGGATCATCGCCAAAGTCGTGCCCATCAAAGGCATCGCCGGCATCTCCACCAAGGTAATACGCATACGTCAAGCGGTATGCATCGACTTCTGGTCCGACTTTGAAAGTGGCGTAGTCGGCATACCTGAGAGAGCAAGGTAAATTTGAGACAAACACTCCCATTGACTGCTAATGTTCAGCAGCATGTTTGATCTGATTGAAAAGGTCATGCGATGTGACTTGGCAAGAATCGATTTTGGTAGCAGAGCAAAGTCCTGTTTGGCGACTGCAGATAAGGAAAACTTCTGCATGGATGATTCTTGCGCAGGTTTGACACCAAAAGCATTCCTTTTTCCTCTGCTTTTGGCAAAAGCAGCCTAAATGTTAAAATAAGATGATTTGGGAACTCCACTTGTGAAATTCAAACCTAAAAAGCACAATATAGGGCAGGAATGTGTGTGAGAGTAAGTAAATCAGTTCCCCGTGGTTCATTACTTTTTGTTGCCTTCCCAATCGACCATCTCTATCCTCAGCACATAAGGCACGCTGGACTGAACAGACAGCAGATGCATCTTCTCATTCCCCAGCCAGAACTCCGTTCTGTCATCTGGTGAGAGATACCCAAAGCCTTCCTTATACTGAATCCATTTTTTGTTGAAGTCGACGCTGCCATCCCGTCTCTGAAAAACGAACGATTCGTTTTGATCATTAAAGCTGTACACATTTGTAATTGCTTCTACTTGCACCTTTCTGTCCAGGACTCAAACAAGTGTCAAAGGCATGCTAACAAGGACTTTAAAGATCATAGTAAGTCTTTAGTCTGCCTCTTGAGGCCAGGAGAGTGAAGTTCACCTGAACAGTCAGCCTCCTTAAACCTCATGCACACCTGGGTCACGGCACCAATATTACTGGCCCTACACCCTTAACATAGTTTGTTGTTCCACGTACCCTCTGAAGGACAGTCCATCCACGTCCAAAGCTATCTATCTCACAGTAGACCAAGAATGCCTCTGGAGCCCTGGCTGGTTTCACGTAGTAAAGCCCACTGACCTTAGCACCCTTGTTTGCAATGTCCTGACAATCTGGGGAAAAGTGCATGTACTTCAGCCCTCTACGTACCTTATGTACAATCAATTCACTCAGTGTCAGTTTTCAGTGAGATGTTTGAATCTGCTGTTTTTACCTTTGCCTGTGACAGTCTGAATCTCCACAGTGTCTTTGCAGGGCTCTTTGCACATCTGGTCCAGCTGCTGGGACATCTGCTTTAAATCGGTTATTCTTTTCTCGTTAGCCTGTAGGATTGACTGCAGCTGACTGTTGAGGGGGGAATACAATATTATATAATGGCATTTCATAAACTATTTGGACCATATTTAAGATAAGTGGCATAAAAAAAAGAAGAAAAAGTGCTCACTATATTTGATCTTCCTGAGCGAGAATGCTCTTCTCAAATCGCAGTATATCATCGAGCATGCTTGTAGATTTTTTGATGTATGCATCTGACAAAAAGATGGCGGTTATGAAAATCAAAAGAAGTTTCACAATTACTTTAAAAATGCGATTTATACATAAAATGACTTGAATATGCCTATTCTATGATATGCATGTTTTACTTTCTGTATGAATTTTTTTTTTATATGTGTTTTGGGAGGGATAAGAATGTCATAGTGATACAAATGTCCTGATATCAAAGAAGCATTCTTAAAAGAATATAAATTATTGGAAAAACAATCTTTATTATTTCTTTCACTTTTTATGAATATTTGAAAAAGGATTTATTTTGTGGTCCTGTGGTGCAACCAACACGTCATGCGGTGCAACCAACTTCCAGAAAATATTATAACAAATTATAATAAAATTATATAACTTCCCATAAAACAGGAAATGATGTCACAGAGAGGACCACCGCTGAAGCTCATGACTGTGTCAAGGTCAGCAATTCTTGTAAAATATAAGAAAATTTCAGGTTGTGAAAAAAGTGTCATGTGGTGCGACTCCCACATGTATGAATAATTAATAATATGTGAAAAATACATAAATAAATAACCTTAAATGGTATTTACATTTTTTTTAATAATAAAATGTGTACTCACAGTGTAAGAAAAATATGTATTTTTTTCTTCATGCACTTAATTGATGCATTAATCCAGAAGCAGCATCTAAAACGCACCTGAGAGCTCACCCGAGACCACTGTAACCTCTGTGCATGTGTTACATTAATGATATTTTTTTAGCCCATAATTAATGATAAATCGTGCTACCTGGTGCTTGTTTTTGTGCTTGTGTTTCTGAGTCCTTCAGGTACACCACTTTGTCCTGCGCTCCTCTTGTAATGTTGGCGATAGCCTCCAAATCCTGCTCCATTTGATCCAGCTCTCTGTCCATATCAGGCACGTACCTCTGTAGGTAATCAGCAACTCCACATGTGGTTGGGCAGTATATCCCCTGAGGACGAGAGAAAGGAGAGTTAGTGTTAAACCAGTGACTATTAAGCTTCCTGAATATAAATGCATTACTTGAAACAATCTAAAGCAGACAATCTGTACTTACAAACCCATCGTTTGGGTTACAAATGTCTTGCGTTGGTGAATAGTCCCCTCTCATTTGCTTGAGGTGACAAAAGGGAGAAAACAAAATCAGTAAAAGAAATTGGTATTACGATAAAATAACATTTGTATGTCGCTCACCGCTGAGGTTAATGTGGACAGCAGCAGGATGGAGACAGACGCATGCATGAATGAGGCCATGTTGGACCTGCAATCTGTCTGGTCCCTCGAGATTGTGAGTGACTGTTGACTGCTGCGGGATATTTATCCGATCAAGGTCCTGCGTGTGACTCAGAATGAACCGTAAACGTTGCAGAGATTGGTCAACATGTCTGTCTCAATGCTAACATGGGCAGAGACAATCGAGACCTGAACATTATATTGATTTAATCAGGGGTCTGCCTTCAACCTTTCCCGGGCTGAGAATGTTTTGGTGCTTGTATACTGTAAAAAAAACTTACTTCCGATTTCACAGACAAGGCTTAAGCCTAGTCCCAGACTAAAATGTAAATCTGAGCTGTTGCAACTGAAAGAAACTTGCACTGACTGATCTTAAAATATATCAGTGCCCTTGTTTTGTCTCAAGATTCCACACCAGTTATGTTTTTTCTAAAGCATGTTTATAAAAATTACTTACATGTCCTAATTGAACTATGGCCTAATCTTGGTTTTGCCTAAACCCTGTCTGTGAAACCAAGCATGACCTGTATAGGCCCATATTAATAGCATTGCAAAGCCATTAAATAATCATTACTTTTTAATATTACTTTAGTTTAACGACTCGAGGGAAGGACATTTAACATTTAGCTGAACTACAGCTCATTTAGCTTTGCTTGAAGTTAGATCTTATGTTTCTTCAACTGTATGTTTCTGAGACTAACTAATAATTGACAATCACTTAATACCTTCAGATTACATTTTGTGTTTTTCCTATAAGCATAATATACAAAGATATAAACAAAGCAAAAAGACAAACGGATCGTTTACCGTGACGCAGCACGGTTCTGTTGCTACAGAGTCTGTGGGTCAGTATCCACTCGGTCTGAAGTTAATGATTTCTAACTTTTTCTCTTCTGATGTTGAGAGAACAAATGTTCCACAAATCTCTAAACGACATGTACACACATGCACAGACAAACAGACACTTCTGCTGACATATCATCTCCACCAGCTGAGTCACTGAGGCAAAAAATAAAGTCTTTCTTCATTTTACTGGTAATGACCAAAATAAAGAAGAGCTATTTAGTAGATAAAGAAAGAAAGAAAGAAAGAAAGAAAGAAAGAAAGAAAGAAAGAAAAAGAACGGAAGAAAGAAAAACTAATAAACTGGTCCAGCCACTGAGGCAAAAATGTATGACTTTCTTAATTTTACTGGTAATATCCAATCAATCAATCAATCAATCAATCAATTTAAAAAAGGTGAAATGAAATAAATTGGTCGTCCATATTTGCATAATATTAATGATCAAGGATTTATTTGCATTAAATATTCCCTACTTAAGCACTTTTGTAACTGTTGTTGATTTTAAAAGTTTATTACCATTTTAAACTTTTTGAGTATTTGATGACTGAATGTTTCTACTAAACAATCTAATCACTTTGAATATTAATATTGTTGCTCAATACTTGTCTGTGTTTTCAAAGCTACAAACATCAGTACCAAAGGAGACAGACTTTGAGCATGTCTTTACCAGCTCGACCACAAGGGGACGATGCACATCAAAAGTATCCCATGATACAGATCTCTGTTACACATCTGCAGCTGTTCAAACTAGTATACTTGCTATACTTCTATACTCAACTCAATGAAATAAATAAATTAGTTTCACTAAACTAAATTAGTTTCATTTAACTAAAAACTAAACATTTTTTATATTTATTATATTATTTTATTAAGCTTGTGAAGTAATGAGTAATATGAATGAGAAAGTGTGCAAACATAAAAATCTTGTTTCTGAGAAGTCATATAGGTTATTTATTTTTTGTTTGTTTGTTTGTTTAAATGTGTCTCCAGGAGGTTTTTATGTGAGAATAACGAAGCTGGTCTTGAGGAACACAAAGGTGTTTGTGTTTGTTTGTTTGCTTTATGAGTCACGCATGATCTTTATGAGCTTTGTGTGTGTGTGTGTGTGTGAGAGAGAGAGAGAGAGAGAGAGAGAGAGAGAGTGTGTGTGTGTGTGTGGGATTTAGGAGTGGGAGCAGTTATGGTAGACAGAAATGGTAGCTATTTCAGAGCTTTTGTAGAGGGGTGAAAATAAGCTTCATTGTTTGTGTCAGTGCAGAATTGAATGATCAGAAGTCGGTTTAATGCAGTGTTCAGGCAGGATTCAAAATCTCAGGAGCCCCAGTAGCCTTTAACCACTGAACATTTGTGCAGGCTACTGTTTTTGGCCATCTAATATTAGAAGAAAGGGTTTCCCCTTTTATTCTAAGAAAATAACACATGCAAGTTTATCATTGAAGCTTTTTTTAATGTTTCAAATTATAATTATAATAATGTTGAGCTGTGCATTGAATGCATTTTACTCCCAAAACACATTTTGTAGCACCGCTGCATGAAGGGGTTGGTCACAGATATCTAGCTGCCGTTGAAAAAGATTAAACTCTTGTAAACAACAAGTGATAAACAAGATTCAGTGAGTCAAGCAAAGGCCAGCTCTGTTTTTCTTCTTCAACTGTGGTAGCAGTGAAGAGCGTCTGAAAGAAGACTGATCTCAGTCTGAAAGCTCTTCATTAGAACAAAACTGATTTTCAGCTTATTAATAAAACTACTGGATTCGGTGTCAGTGAATACAAATCTTAAAATACAAAGATTGCTTAGCGACTTGGTGAAATTAAAGCTTGCTTCACTGTGGATTTACAGCTTTGTAGCAGATGAGTTTACTGGGGCAGTGGGTCTAGAGAGAGGTCCACAACAAGGTTTCTTCATTCTGTTTATTAGGTGTATCATGAAGCTCTGACTCTGCCAGTAGCATCATTAAAGTGACCAGGCTGTGACCCGATTTTATGGCACGAAACCATATTGAACGTGGTAACTGACAGATAAGGCACGGATGACCTGAGAGTCAACTTCAGCGTCTGTGAACTTAAACAACTCTGAACTCTGCCTGAACCTCTCTAAAAACCAGATGGAGAGCTGCTTCCATTTCACAAGTCTCAAGATGCAGCCTGCTAGCTCTCCAGTCTCTTAAACAAAAGATAAGAAATGTTACCACCACTGTAGCGATCACGGGAGGTCATTGCCGTCTGAACTGTACTGAAATGCACACAGAGTCTGAGGTCATTTTGAGGTTATTTAATATAAGGCCTGAACTGAGTATCCCACTGCATACTTTTTCTTTTTGCAAGTAACGTAATTACTGGTCTGAAGCAACTTTTACTTGATTATCCATACATCATTTTTTTATTTTTTTAGAAACCATGCTTAAATGTGAGGCTAAAATCAGGCTTTTGATGAACATTTATTTGTGCATCTCTTGAATATCATCGTATTGCATTGCAATATATGTTTCGCCTCCCATAATAAAAACTACAGAGCATTGATCATAAAAACATTTCAATATTATCTTACTAAGACATTATCTGGAGATATAATGATATTTGTATGCATTTTAATCTGCTGAACTGTTAAAATTATCATCTCATTGATTTACATTACAAGCTATCAGAATTTCATCTTACTTTTTGGCCATGTAAATATTATCAGCATATTTATGGTCAATTTTGGGCTTCTTAATAAGTTTGAGGCTTTTATTTTTTAATTGAGATATTTTTCTGACTCAATGAAAATGCTTATTGGTCTGGAAATATCAGCAAATTAATATTGAATATTAAAAAAGGAAAGAAACTTGGATCCCTCAAAGTGTTGGCTTGAAGGCAAAATCACATTTGTGAGCCTGCAGCACAAAACCAGTCTTAAGTCGCTGGGGTATATTTGTAGCAATAGCCAACAATACATTGTATGGGTCAAAATTATTGATTTTTCTTTTATGCCAAAAATCATTAGGATACTAAGGAAAGATCATGTTCCATGTAGATATTTTGTAAATTTCCTACCGTAAATATATCAAAACTTAATTTTTGATTAGTAATATGCATTGCTAAGAACTTCATTTGAACAACTTTAAAGATGATTTTCTCAATATTTAGATTTTTTTGCACCCTCAGATTCCAGATTTTCAAATGGTCATCCAATTATTGTCCGACCCTAATAAACCATACATCAATGGAAAGCTCATTTATTCAGCTTTCAGATGATGTACAAATCTCAATTTAAAAAAATTGACACTTAAGACTGGTTTTGTGGTCACAATTGGTCATGCATTGTCATTGTGACGTTTGCAGAACCGTCATGACTTGAGTTGACATGCAAAACCACAGTAACTTAATCAAGTTTTAATTGTATTCACTAATTCAGAAAAATAGCAAGCTGCTTCTAATGCGTCCCATTGGGATTGTTTATGTGCAACAGATTTATGTGTCCTGTCCATTTGATTTACTGAAGACCTCTACTCAACTTCTCAGCTTCAAGGCACTCTGCTCGTCTTTTTTTCTCCCCTCAAGATTCTTTTCGGAATTTTGTAAACAGGGCTGGAAGGCAATAGCAATGAGAGAATAATCAATGAATGCACGAAAATGTGAGAGTTAAGTCTAGTGCATTTCTTTCTCAAGAGTAGCCTACTCTTATCTGGCATCCCGTAAATGTGGATTTGTAAGTGAGGAGGTCGCAGCGAGGCCAGAGTAAGTTCACTTCGAGTGTGGTTCTGCAATAACCACCATTTCACATCTGCCCTTCAGACCTCAGACTGCCTGTTGATCACAGCTGCCAAATATTCAACACAGAATATATGGACTTATTATGGACAATAATTATTTATCTGTTTTCTATGCTACTCAAAATAGGCACTGACAGATTTTTACAAATGAGTAATGCATGTGATTTAGACAGAAGACGATAAATGTGATCATAAACATCATAAACATATTGTGTTGCATCACAGTGCACGGTGATAATTTTTTCAGTGATATGTTAACTATTGCACTTAATAGTTATGCTTAATGAAATCTGCTTACATAAAGAGTTATCACAACCAAACGCCTGTAGTAATAACATTGACACATGACCAGCTCTTATCTTAGCTGAACAAAGAAAAACAAAACTGGCTTGTATTCAGTTGTTACAGAAGATACCTTGAGAGGTGTATTGGTTCCCTCCCTGTTGTTACCACCTGTCCATGTATGTTTAGGCCAGTGTATAACTTATGGTTATTTTATTACAGAT